GCTTGGAAGCTGGTCTCACATCCTGGGGGAAAAGACAGCTCAGATAGAGAAGGGACCACCAAATAAAGGGTGTTTAGAGGACCCGCTCGGGATGAGAGATGCATGCCGAAAGTAGACTACGGACCGAACATTATGGCCATTTAATATTTGCATTGCAGACCACAACACCCTAAAGGAGAGAGAGAATTAAAGGGAATGTGCTGGTCAAAGAGGTGGAGGGGGAGAAGGCGGGGGGGAAGTGGGAGGGAGGGATACTGGGAGCATTGATGGTGGAGAACGGGCACTGGTGGAGGGATGGGCACTCAATCATTGTATGACTGAGACGTAAGCACGAACATTTTTAAGTTTGTAACTGTACCCCACAGTGATTCATTAAAAAATTAAAAAGATATTCTATATTCTACGGATTAAAAAAATGCAAAAAAGATTAGACTGAGGAGGAAGATATAAAAGGTGCTTCACATCACATTAAGAGGCACAGGAAAAGGCATCCAACACCACTATTCATCAGAGAAAGGTGAATACTTGCTTTCCTGTAGGCTGACCAGAGAAATAAGATACAGGATATGGTGAGAAGACTATGTTCTATAAAACAGATAAAACCCATTATGTCTTTTTGAAATTTTATTTTCAGTGACTTATAAACCTGAATTGTTTTATATACTCACTACTTTGTAAAGCAATAACTTATTACAAAAGTTCCACCTCAGAGTTGACTCTAAAACCTGTGGTGTTTTTATCACCACCACCACCACCACCACCAAAAATGAGTATCTTGGTCACTTCAGCACTTTACTTTCTTTCTTCAAAAGGAAGGGACTGATTAAAATTTCAAGGAAGTTCCATAGAACATACTATGCTAAAAAAAATTAGAATTTCATAATCCTTTGGAACTGCGTTATTTTAATGGTACTTCTAATGGAGTCGAACGCTTGGAAGGATTGCACAGTTTGGCTCCTATAATGTGATTTTTGGACAGCAAATGTGCAGGAACCAGAATCTATACTGAAACTTGAAACAAAGCCACTTAGACGTCATGATGTTGCCCAAAAATGAAGTGGTTTCCACTGGCAGTACCATAACATCATCTCTGTGAAGCATGAGAAGGAGTTTAGGAAGACTGTTTAGCTACCAAATGAAGCAGACATTATCTAAGTCTTCATCAGATGAAAAAAAAAGTCAAGAAATTTTTTTTTCTGGTGTTCATTCCACGGCAAGTGAAAACAAGAAGCAGCCAAACCAAGTCTGCAGCTCATGGGGTGGGAACGGCAGTACAGCACACACAGCACATGTCTTACATGCCACGCACCCGGGCTTAATTCCTGGCCCCCATTATGTTCCCCTGCCAACTACACGGAGCTATCCCTGATCCAAGAGCAGCGGTAAGCCCTGAGCACTGCTGGGTACAGCTCTGGACCCAATACAAACGCAAAAATGTTAACATCTGGAAAGTGGCAGCAAATTATTGAGATCTAGAGCATTTTTCAACAACGGCCCCCTCTGGCCTTTTTTTCTCCCTTTGGTCCCCTATCCAACTGGTTGGCCCCCTAGTCTCGTGCTGTGGGCCCATTTCGATATTTTACTTGTGGTCCTCTTGGAATATTCCGGGGGCCCACAGGGAAACATATGGTGCCTGTTGAGAAATGCTGCTCCAAGCACAGTGCTCTGCAATTTGGTTAGATTGGTCTAGAAGCTAAGGGTTTTATATGACTCCTTTGCAATCTCTGCTCCTGGTATGTGGCTTTTGAAGATAAGGATGTTTAGGAAATATGTACTGATCCAATTAATGAGCCGTAAGGGGCTTAGAATCTAACTGAGAGAGGACAGAGGTAACTCTCTTGTTCACAAGTTTGGTGGTTCTTGTGGGACCATACATGGTGCCATGAATTGAACTAGGGTGGGCTGTATGAAAAAAATGCAAGCATCTTAAACCCTGTACTATCTTGGGTCAGGCTAGCAAAGTTTTTGTCTTAACTCTCTTTTTACTATATCCAGTAGGTTATCTATCACATAACAAGTTATAAATTAGCAGATTAGTCAAACATGTACTCATAATTTTACTAGTATTCATTGTATGTTAGGGGCACCACTACACTGATTTCTTTTTTTTTCCAGTGTTTTTTATTTTATTTTATTTATTTTTTAAAATTTATTTATTTATTTTTTTAAATAGTGAGACATCATGAGGTACAGTTGCAGACTTACACATTTTTGTGCTTGGGTATCAATTATACAATGATCAAATACCCATCCCTCCACCAGTGCCCATTTCCCACCACCACAGATCCCAGTATCCCTCCCACCCCCCATACCCCCCATCACACCCTGCCTCTGTGGCAGGGCGTTCCCTTTTGTTCTCTCTCTCTTATTGGGTGCTGTGGTTTGCAAAATAGGCAATGGGTGACAATCATGTTTAGTCTATAGTCTACTTTCCGCATGCTTCTCCCATCCTGGGAGGATCTTCCCAATGCCCTTTATTTGGTGTTCCCTTCTCTATCTGAGCTCCCTTTTCCCCTAGTATGTGTGGTTGGCCTCCAATCCATGGAGTAAAATTTCTGGTATTAATCTCAGCCATTCTTGGGTGTTAATCTCCTATTTTGTTACTTTATGTTCCCCAGATGAATGCAATCTTTCTATGTCTGTCCCTCACTTTCTGACTCATTTCACTTAGAATGATACTTTCCATGTAGTACCACTTGTATGTAAATTTCGCTACACTGATTTCTTACAGTATGAAAATACTAATATCCACTCTACTCCCGCACCTACCTCCCCCCATAGCTATGTCAAAATGACATAGCTCAAATATGCAAAGGTTAATTTACTTGCTAAGTTATTCAGATAAGTAACTTGTAGAGACAGTGATACAGTAGCAGGAGCTGAGGTGTGGAACACTTTAAATTTCTACCCATGAAACAGGTGGCCCAGTAGAATAGATAATGGGATGGCTGGGCTGAGACCAACAGCAGGTAAAAGGAAGCCCCCAGTGAGCGCGAACTCTCTGTCTGTCTGTCTGTCTGTCTCTCTCTCTCTGGCACCTGAAAACATGGTCTAGTACAGGCAAGTCCAGATAGGGGCAAAACACAAGCAGGATTCACAGGTCCAGGAATTCAGGCAGGGCTTGGACACCCAGGCTCTGACAGGCTGAGCACAGGTGTCTCATCCTCATGCATGTGGCCATGGCTGGAGACCGGGGGAAGTGTATGCAGGATAGAGAGAGCGTCTCAGGGACAGGACATGGCCATTGTGCACAGGATGGGGCAGTGTCAGGACCAAACTAGTGATGCCGTTCATGGCTAAAGGTGAGGACTGGGCATCTGGGGAGGGACCTGGACCCCTCGACTTTATCTGTACAATAAACTCTAGACTTTAATCTAATGAGTTTTTGTATGCAAATCTTTCGTGCAATTCTCAAGACCCTACCTGTGTAGGAAAATCTGCTTTCGCACTAATAGCAGGACTCAGAAGCACTCTGACTGCAGTATACAACCTTCACCTTGATACACATGAAAATGGACAAAGTAATTTTGGGGATGACACCAAGTGGTGTTCAGAGGCTCTTCCCGGTGGGTGCTGTCTCTGGCAGTGCTTGGGGAATCATGCAGTTCATGAATAGAACCTGGGCCTCCTGCATGCTAAAGCAGGTTAGTCCTCTGAGCCATCACTCTGGCTAAAAGACAAAGTAATATTACAAGGAAGCAGATGTTAACATCAGCTGGATACCAGAAGACAAGTTATCCAGCTTTAGAGTAGGAAGTGAATGCATAAAACTGGGCAATCACTTCTGATTGAAGAACTTTATGAAGAAAGTGGCATTTGAGGTGAGGTTTTGAAAGAGGAACAATTGTGAAATATTGAAGAAGCAAGATTATTGAATATTGAGCAAAGGAAGCTAGAAATGTTCATAATGTATTTGGAGACTAGGGTGGACTTTTTGGATGAGTGAAAGACAATATAAGAAAGCAGTAGAAAGACCAGTAAGAGATTAAACAGGAATAAGAAAGTGAAGGATTTGGGGCTGGAGTGATAGTACAGTGGGTAGGGCATTTGCCTTGCACGCGGCCGACCCGGGTTCGATTCCCAGCATCCCAGATGGTCTCCCGAGCACCGCCAGGAGTAATTCCAAAAGCCAGGGTAATCCCTATGCATCGCTGGGTGTGACCCAAAAACAAAACACAAACAAAAAAAAGAAAGTGAAGGACTTGACATTTTGAATTTTCTTTCTTTAAGAAGAAGAGGGTTCAATTAAGGGTTTTTTTTTCCCACAGAGAAAGAGTATGAAAAATTTTTAGCTGGGACATCACAGAGGGGAAGAGATCGAAGACTAGTGAAGTAGAGGCGAAGACGTCTTGGATTAACATGGGGCATTGGGAATAGAAAAGAAACTTCAGATTAAAAAATAAAAAAAGAAAGAACCAACAGAATATGATTCCTGGAGAGTGATGCGTCAGTAACTGTGACAGATACGGATAATATAACACTCAAAAATGGTCACATCTAAGGAGAGTTGAGTTTTTTCCTCCCTATTTACCTGATTAAATTTGATATATATATATTATAACTGTTTAAAGACTAAAAAGAATTCTCTTTATGCACAATATCTTTTGTCTAGAGTCTAGAAAATATACCTTTCACTGCAGGATTTTTGCTTATTGTAATAATATATGCTACATATCTATACCAAAGTAAACCATATCCCCCAATCCTTCCACTACAAATATCTATACTGAAAAAGCACTGGTGGAGGGATGGGTACTGGATCATTGTATAACTGAAACCCAAGCACAAAAATTTGTAAGTCTACAACTGTACCTCATGGTGTTTCACTAATAAAAACTAAAAAGAAGACCAAAAAAAGAAGACTCACAGAAAAACTACTGTTAAGAAACAGAGAACGAGACTCATGTTAATGGCAAGACAAAATGAACAACCCTAAGTCTCGGGAGAATGCATAGCCGTGTTCAGGGGTCTGTGTTCCTGCTCAGGGTGACCAGCTGCCTCTAGCCCCTCCGCTGGCTCTCGTGGATGGCCGAGCACAGGACCATGCTGAAGACCATGCCGAAGACCATCACCAAGGAGATGCTGATGGCTATCGCACTGAGGAGGTGGAACTTTCTGTTGAAGATCTGGCTGATGGCCAAAGGGCAGGGCTTCACCTGCAGGCTGCCCAACAGACTCTTCTTGGGGCAGATGTCGGAGATGAACTGCTCCACGCCCCCAGCGACGCCGCAGCACTTCAGGGCGACGTGCATGACCCTCAGCGCCTCCCTCTGGAGGTCCTCCTTGTTCCTCAGCTTCTTGTAGGCGTCTATGTAGAAATCCTGCACCTCCTTGATCAACCTGTCCTTGTGGGAGCTGCTCCAGATGGCCGCGTGCAAGGCCACGACAAATATCGCCAGGAGGAAGCAGAAGAACATCACCAGCATGCACTGGGACTCCTGCTTGGCCCCGCAGCATCCCAGGAAGCCCACCAGCACCATGAGCGCGCCCACGCCGATCACAACGAGCACGCCTGTGTAGAAGCTGGAGTGGGGGTTCTCTTGCTCGAAGATGCTTCTGGTCTGTGCATCAAACCGCAGCCAGAGCCCGATGCTCAGGACGACCATGCCGACCAGCCAGTTGACCAGGTTGAACGCAAAGAGCAGGTGTTTGATGCACTCGATGCCGCCCCTCACCGGCATGGTGTGGGCGAGATGGGCCTGGGCCTGCCCGGAGTGGAACTGGGGTGGTGCAGCCGGGAGGGGTGAGCGTGGCACTCCCGGCGAGGTGCTGGCGTCGTGAGAGGTGGCCTTCAGAGGCCTCTCTAAACTCCCAGTGGAAAGCACTTGATTCTTACAGGCTTCAGGCACATGGTAGTCAATAAACTAAACCCTGGATACAATTATAAGCCAGTAGCTGGGCCAGGCGCAGGCGAGTCAACAGGAAAGATAGAGGGATTGTTTTCACACACCCTCCTTTATGAGAGAACTGAGGAGACATTACATAGGCCATCACTGTAGCTGAGGGCAGGAGGGCACGCCTACATAATCTTGTCTCTGGGACTTCCTAGAGGAACTGACATGGAAAAAATCGGTCATATTACTAGCTTGGTGCCCCAGCCAGAGTTATTTGTCAAGCTTATATACTAGAGGACTGCATCATTCATAGGTGTTCACCAACCAGCCCTTCTACTGCAATCAAATTACTTATGAAAACCTTTTGAAATCATAGTGATCAGGGGGTCATACACACATATCTTTTGGTTTTGGGGCCATGGTAGGGGTGCTCAAGGAATATTCTCCACTAAAGGATCACTCCTGGTGGGGTTCAGGGAACCGTATCTGGTGTTGTGGATTGAACCGGGGTTGGCTGTGTGCAAGGCAAAAGCCCTACCTGCTTCACCCCCCTAAACAATTTCATGAATAGTGGAAACCAGCAATTGGTGGAGGACTGAATTTGAGGTGATGTTAAAACTGGGGAGAGCTACTTGCTAAAGTTTACAGTGGGCCGAAAGAGTACACAGGAGAAGAAGCTGGTCGGTATGTAGTGAACAGAAGAAGTAAGAGAAACATTCCTTTAGAGAAATACCAGGTCTTCGGAGAAACAAGAGGTGAGAGTGTTTTTCCTACAGCAATAACTGTCAATGACTATACAATCACAAAGCAACAAGTACCCTTACAGAAACACATACTGGATAAATTTGACATTAAAGCAGCTTTATAAAGTCTAAGTGACTTCAATTAAAATTTCAGTACAAGTTCAGTTCTTATATATTTTCTGTAAAAATTTTCTTTGGAGACAAACTATAAATTCAATTCAAACTCACTGAGTGGGTATCTATTCCTTGTAGACAAAAGGGTTTAATTAAAACACATTATCCTTTCATGGATAAAAGTAAATAGGAGCTATTGTATGAGTTCAGTTATGAGGGTAAATAAATTCTTATATATCAAAACAAATCTGTTTGCTACCTTTAAATGTCTTTAATTGTCATAATTATAGTGTGCCTATCTCAACACAGATGTATACCATATATTCTTAGGAAAATTACCGCAAGTGTTGATACTTATCCCCAAGTGTTAAATTTGCATGCTGCACTCCATACACATGTACATGAAATCTATTTATACTCATCGAACTAAGTGTCTTTGGCAAGACACAAAGAATGCAAAGGTAAAAATACAATTACACGACTTCCTCAGAATTCTGAGTGTGTGAGGGGTCACTGAGATAACCTCAATAAAATGATCGTTTCCCCACAGGTCTCCTAAGCTCTTCCCTGGGTAGCAGGCTGGAATTAAACAACGTGGCTCCAGAGAACTTTATCTTTCTGCTTTTCTCACTTTTACTCAATCTTGTATATTTTCCTCATGTGTGTAGTCCCTCTCCTGGTTAAAATCAAACTATAAACAACTATAGTCAAACAAGTGATAAAACAATTAGGTTATCTGTGTCAAGAGATTTTTCACAGGTCTCCTCAAAAGAATTTTTGATAAAGCGACTATTTGGAACTAAAGAACAAGGTAGCTGAGCTGGTGAAACACCAACTTTCCTTTCTCTGAGGGAGAGCTCCCTAAAGGTTTTCTCCGGGTTTCCTTTTCCACTTCGGCTACATTCAAAGAATTACTCTGGCCTAGAAGGAGACATGCAAAATGGCGGAGTGGACAAGTGCCCGCCATACGACCACTGAAACTTTGCAATGTGCTGTCAAGTTAACAGGTGGGGGCGGAGTAGGAGTGGGGGTTGGGATATGGAGGGAATCTGGGAACACTAGGGGAAGGAAGTTCACACTTGTAGAGGGGCTGGTGTTGAATTACTGTATACCTAAAATACAACTATCAGTAACTTTGTAAATCATGGTTCTTAAATAAATTATTATTTTTTTTTTTAGGAAAAAAGTGCCTGCCATAGGGACAGGCAGGGGAAGTTGTAGGGTGAGGGTGGGGGAGAACTGGGGACACTGATGGACAGAAGTGAGCACCTGTGAAGGGACTGGTATTGGAATACTGTAGGCATGTAATTTAGTGATGAATAACTTTGTAACTGTGCAATTCACTGTGATTAAAACTGTCACTGTCACTGTCACTGTCCTCCCGTTGTTCATCGATTTGCTCGAGCGGGCCCAGTAACGTCTCCATTGGAGACTTTGTTGTTACTGTGTCTGGCATATCGAATACTCTCGGTAGCTTGCTGGGCTCTCCGAGAGGGGCGGAGGAATCGAACTCGGGTCGGCCATGTTGGCTGCGTGCAAGGCAAACGCCCTACCGCTGTGCTATCGCTCCAGCACAGTGATAAAAAAAAATTAAAAATAAGTTTTAAAAAAGAGAAAACTTGAAGAAAGTGACAAAAGAAGCAATTTAACTGGTCACTGGAGAAGGTTTCGTTTATACCTGTCTCCTCCCTACACCATGCAGAACACAGGTTATGGGAGGGACTGAGCATGAAGAATATCATGTCCGTGAGGGTTTGTGACCTGAGTGGTGCTGTCCTTCCAGATCAGAGACTGGGCTTCAGTCTGGAAAGTGGAGCAGAGTGAAAGGCTAAAGAAAAGGAGATGTCCCCATTGTTCAGATGTTGGTGACAACGACAAATATCAAATGGTGAATTACAAGTATAGAAGATCTAAATAATGAGTTGCTTTCCCTAGAATAGTATCAAAAGTTGTAATAAAATTTACAGTTTTGGGGGGATCAGGCAGAGATATGGCTCAGTGGTAAAGAGAATATGCTTTGACTATATGAAGTCCTGAGTTTGATCTCAGGAACCCAAACTTTTTTTAAGTAAAATATTCCGCTTACACCCCTCCTGCCCCCCCACCCCAGCATAATTTATTCAACAGTGAAGAAATCTCCCCAAGGAAAGCTTTTGAAAAAAGTGAAGGTAGTATTTTATAAGACTCCCTTTAACTTTTATTATAATAAAAATAAAAGCACAGCTAGCAGTTATGACTCAATAATCCTCTAGTAATTATTAATTTACTAAGGAAAGTATTAAAACATATGTTGATTTTTACACTTCAAAAAATAACAAGGATGTCAAAAGGAGAGAGAGAACAAAAGGGAATGCCCTGCACAGAGGCGGGGTAGGATTGAGGGGCCTTGGGAGGTGGGAGGGATACTGGGATCATTGGTGGTGGAAAATGGGCACTGGTGGAGGGATGGGTACTCGATCATTGTATAACTGAAACCCAAACACAAAAATTTGTAAGTCTACAACTGTGCCTCATGGTGTTTCACTAATAAAAATTAAAAAAAAATAAAGTAAACATAAAAAAAACCAAGGATGGGGCTGAAGCGATAGCAGAGCAGGTAGGGCATTTGCCTTGCATGCAGCCAATCTGGGTTCAATTCTCAGCTTCCCATATGGTCCCCTGAGCACCGCCAGGAGTAATTCCTGAGTGCATGAGCCCAAGTAACCCCTGTGCATAACCAGATATGACCCAAAATTTTTTTCCAAAAGGAAAAAAAATCATGTTATATATATATATATATAACACAAAGTATAGAAATAAAAAAGTTACAGAATTATATTGTCTGTATATATTTATGTGAAAGAGCTTGATAATATAGGTAGGTTGAAGATATAATTTGGGGATTTAGTTAATGCATTTTTTAGTATTATATATACAGAAATTAACCTTGTAAAGTCAGAATTAGCTGGAAAACTGGTCTAATGCACTTAAAAAACTAACCAAACTTGGGGCTGGAGTGATAGCACAGTGGGTAGGGCGTTTGTCTTGCATACGACCGACTTGGGTTCAATTCCCAGCATCCCATATGGTCCCCTGAGCAACACCAGGGGTAATTCCTGAGTGCACAGCCAGGAGTAACCTTGGAGCATCGCCGGGTGTGACCCACCTCCCACCCCCCCCCCCGCAAAAAAAACACCTAATCAAACTAACCCTTTGTTTACTTCACTTAAGAGTGAATAATCTAGGTACATTAAGTAATTTTACTTTAAAGAAAACCAACTGCGTTTCAGTTAACATTGTTTACAGCCTTCTATGACTGATTTCTGCAGTGCTTAGATGCTGTTGTACATATTCCAACAGCACTCTGCTGCTCCAATGACTAATAGGATATACCCTGATAAAAGTATTATAGTATTCTATCTCACTAATAGGATAGATAGAACAAGATAGTATTCATAGTTCACACACACACACACACACACACACACACACACATGCACACACACACACACACAACTGGACAACAACCCAGTAGGACAAAACAAAAAGATGAGAGAAAAAGGAGACAGACGGAAGTCAGGAACATCAATGGCAGAAACCTAAAGATACTAGAAAAAAAAAAAAGCCCCAAACACTGAGATCACACAGCTATTTGTCTCAGAAGGGAGCATAACATGAGGCCCCCACAGCCATGCCACCGGACTCCCCGCCAGGCTGTTTCACTCGGGGAGCACTAGAGGGAGCGGGTGAGAACCCCAACAGCTGCAAACCTCCACAACCCAACCACCACCACACTCAAGGCCGCTCCTCACGTACTTGGGCCGAGTCTCACATATGAGTGAACATATTCCTGGACCGCGCTGCCACGACACATCACAAGACACTCCCTACTCATTCTCCATGATTGCCACACCATATTTGATGAGGTTCAGACAAATCATAGAGGGAAATACATATATATGTATATATGCCTATATACATATTTTCAGATGTATATATACCAAAGCTCAC